TGTAAATTACTCAACTGAGACGGGAATGGATGATGACGACGAGGATGATGACGAGTTGAAGATCAAGCAGGGATTTTCCTTACAGCTGACTTTCACTTTTTTAAATGGGAAATATCTTAAGTTCAAAGATCAAGTTAATATCCTTTAATTGACTTTCATTTGTCAAAAATAAGTGAGTAATTTCCCAACAGTTACAGCTTGTAAGTTAATAACCAGGCACAACTTTCAGTTTTCTTTGTAAGAAAAATAAAAATAAGCAGTGAAAGAATTACAAGGTGTTAAGGATAAAGTTTTCATAGCAGGCTTTCACTTTCACCCGCTAAAAAGAAAGTAATTGGCTGACGCTGGAAGTTCGGTAGCCCATTAAGAGCATTTAACAGTTACAGTTATGACTGGCACTGCCACAATATTGAGCCATTTTATGTATATTTCTTTTTTCGTACGATTTCTCTTTATTTCATTTTTGGCGTCATCGTTAAAATGGTTTTTATTATTTCCGTTGGCAGCGTTATTAATGTTGTTGTTCTGCTTTTGACTTTACTTCCGGTCGGCACACACACACACACACACACACGCATACACACTCATTTACCCACGCATACATATACATGTATGTGTATGCCAACAATTTATATTTTTCAATTAAGCAGCAAAAATTTTACGCTTTGTTTCGTACAACTGTAATAAATTTCAACTACCCTTATTGCCTCTCTTTTTGCTCATGTTTCACTTCATTTGGCCGCATATGTACTGGCATTTCGATTCGGGTTTGTTGCCATTGTACCCGTAGTTATTTTCCCAGCTTTCCATCTTGTTCTTATTGTTGCCGCTGCACAATTTTCGCGTTATGGTTTAATTTTTGGAGCACGCGTGTAATTGATAGCCGCCTTTGGCTTAATTAATAATTTTCATGAAATTCGAACATGGCACCAGTGCGCTGGAAATTTTAGTTTTAGGAAATGCTAAAGCATTTAGCTGATTTCAGCTACGAAAGTTTGATTGGATGAAGGAGGAGTTGGGGGATTGGAAGGTGGAAATGGAAATTGTATGGTGAAAGTGCTCTTCCCCAGTAATAAAGTAAGAAAGAAATAGAACTAATAAGCACAAAAGCCATAATAGTTGCCCTTTTATACTTTTTCATTGCCTACTTTTAGGCACTTTCTCATAAATAGCTCCATATAGCTAAAAAATTTGTTATACTTTACCGGACAAGTCAGTAGCCAAAAGAGCTTAAAGATAATCCCAACATTAAAGGTATCAAATGAAAAGAAATCCTGGTTATATCTACCCTTAGACTTATATGATTCACCCTGGACAAACAGCATACAGATACTCCAATATGTACGACGTTCAGACACATCCTAACCAACTTAACCCTCCATCAACCAGTACCCATTAAACAGCTCTTGTTGGCTGTAAAGTGCTCGTTTAGCACAGCGTTCGTGTTTTTGTTTTTGTTGTGCAATCATCAAACGGTTTAGCTGTAAAACTAATTGCATTACATCAATTTTTCTGTTAAAAGTCAATAACCAATCAAACCCCAGACCCCGCAGAGTCACCAGAACACGGATGGAAGGACCCATGGACTGAGTTCCGGAATGAAGCGCGGGTCAAAGTTTGAAAACGTGCAGTTAAATGCACACAGACACGCAGTACACACAAATGTTAACGTTTATATATACACACATATATATATATAGTAGATATAGGGGCTGGGGAGACAACCAGTCGGTGGTCAATTTAATGGCAACGGGCTGGGGTTTTAATGGTGGAACGGATCCATTGAAGAGACGGATGTAGCGACGAAATAATGACAGGAGTAATCACATTAGCCCCCAACAAATACTTTTGCAGCAGTGGAGGTGGCAGCGGCAGCGGCAGGGTTACCATCGCCCTCGAATAATTGTTTCAAATGGAAGTGGTTTGCAGGCAATCAAGAATGAGATTGCCATTTGCAGATTATCGAATTTCGCTTGGGGTTTCGTTCACTTCAACTCACGCCGAAAATGGAAGAGTTAAGAGGATCTTCCAATGAGCTGACAGCCCTGTCAGTTACTACAGTTCGTTCACTGGAAAAAAATACTAGTGAAATCATGATGATCAATATGAAAAAGTATAATTAATTAATCAAATTATTCAATCATCAATAAATTAAGGCATTATAAATAGATTTACATCAAAACAAATCAAATTAATCTCTCACAGAATTGGCATTTTAGAATGATAGCGATTTTCTTTTCAGTGCTGTTGCACATACAAAGACAATCGCGCTTCCCCCAAAACGCAGCCACGATGACGTGTCCATGCAGCCCCTGTCAACATGACCCCCGACCTTCGACCCCAAACGCATACACAAACAAAAACCTATCAAAGTGGGGATGGGTTGCTTGAGTGGGGGGAGGGTTGGAGATGCGGCGCCAAATGCTGACGGCGCAGAGAGTGACCAGTTGACCAGCCCTAGACGAACGTTAAATCGTTAATTGATTACGGGACAACATTGATTGTTGTTGTTGATTTTTATTCGCTCTTTTTTTTTGCAATTTCCCAGGATGTTTTTTCCCTTCGATTTTTGACGACGATGCCAGTGGAAGTGGAAGCTTTATTTGGCCGAAGGATTACGCAGTGGGGTTTTGTTGGACCAAAAACAAAGGCAAAAAAAAAAGAAAAAAGAAACCCCTCCCAGCTCTAATGAGTACGAGGACGAGTTGGAGTACAAGAACTCTGGATATGTCCTGCAGCATTTTAAAACTAATTGTTAAGCAAGCGGGCATGCCAGTCGAACGAACATCCATGTCACGTACGCACAAACCGCAAATACAGACAATCTGGTCGAAATATAACCGGCAGCCAGTGAACAGGATGGAATCGAGCGTGGATGTGGATGGGAAGGATGGATGTGGGGGGGGCCCCAAAAAGGATGCTTTGAAATAGAGAACGGCACCAGTGACTCCTGTAACTGATATTGCAGTTAAGGCGGTAACGAGTCTGCCGCCCAAGGAGCAAAAAAACAAATCGACCGCTCCTGCTGCTGCTGCTGCTACTGCTGTTGCTCTGGCTGCCACTGCTGCCACTCAAAATTCAAGCCACCCAGAAAAAAAAGGGCCAAAGGGCTGTTGGCGAAGCATGAAAATAAAATACGAATGAGGTAGCCAGCCAGCAGGACGAGTGCATGGCCAACTCCTGACGAGCATTTTAAGCAGCAATTATTTACTTTTACTTGATGCCGAATGACAACAACAGCGGCAGCAGCAGCAACATGGAGTTGGCATAACAAGGCCCTTCGTAGCATAAAATTCAATTTAACTATTTTGCAAAATTCATTACCAAAATTCGTAGCATAAATTCCAGCTGTATGAATGCATTCCAAGGAGAAGGGTAGGAAATCCGAGGGATTCTAAAAGCCAAGGAAGGCACCAGAAGCAGAAATGGAGCAACATTGTCTAGGTTACTAATTGATGAACTAGAGTGTACGGTATAACACGTGTAGAACAAGTTTCCCCAACAAATGCCAGGCCAGTAACTAAGTAAGTCAATACACTCGGCAAAAAGGAGGAGTTAGTTAACTTGGATGTAAAATTAAAACTACCCCCTAAGCGTGTGAATCTTATTTAGCAATCTTTTTTACAACAAAAATAGTGCCTGAGAAAGTTTAAAGGATTTTATTCAAATTTAAAAACAAATTTTATAACTCCTATACATTTTCTTCAAGTGCAGCAGCCACCACGTAGCGCTTGTTATTTTAATTTCCGCCTAAAAGTATGCAACAAATTGAAAGGATTACACAGAAGTTTATGCAATGCTGCAGGAGCAACAGCAACAGCAACAGCCACCAGCCAACTTAAAACGGCAAGACAAATGCGACAATTTAAGCGCGTTTTGGACCGCTGGCACGCCAGCAACATGGCATAAAATTAATGTCAAGCAAAATGGGGAAACAGCTAAAAGCAGCAGGAGGAAGAAAGGAGCCGCAGGGGGCCAAAATGCCAGCTGAGGCAGCGCATCCGTTCCCATTCGCCGCCTCTGCAGCTCTCTGTCAGCCAAAAACTCCTCTGCAAAATGATGTGGGCCGGGCTGGATCGGCTTGGCTTGGATGCGCTTGGCTTTCTAGCAACTAGCCATGTGTGTATGTGTGTGTGTGTTGTGGGCGTTGCGAGTGCAATACAACTTTTGTTGCATATTCAGCAGCAATGCTGTTGCAACTGCAACAACAGCTAGAGCAATTTGGTTCATTCGAAATAAACTTGGCAACGCTTATATGGCCGCATTTTGTGGCAAATAAACTTGCAACTGCCAGCCATAAAAACTATGTCGATGTCGACAAATTATGCACCAAGCACAACGGAATAAAGTCCTTTATTCATCTGAAATTTAGCACCGACTTCTCTCATAGTGACTCTCTTTAGGCGCTTCGATATTGCACTAAAACTGCATTCCAAAAAACCCAAATCAATGAAGCATTCTGTGGGAATTGCGTCAGCAAAGATGCATCATGTCCCCCAGTCCCCTTTTGATTTTTGTCATCAGAATACGACCTGGTTTCGTGTGGCACTAATGATGGCATATTGTGTGCGTGTGTGCCAGCATATGACGATGAGGATTTTCCTTTTTGCTGATTTTCCACATTGTACTGACATCAACATCAGGTGAAAAGATGGCACAACCTGGGCCCAAAAGTCATATCTGTGAGATTCAACAGCAATGATTTATTTACACTATAAAAATGGTTGGGGTTTAATATATTTTATAGGATAAGATTATAGGTTTCTCAAAATCTTAGAAGTGTTCTAAAAATAATTTTTCTTAAAAGTCAAGTAAATACTACCAAATGCTATTTTGAAAATTTCATAATTTCCTTGATAAACAGCCTTATGACGCATGTAGAAAACAGCAACTTGATTTCTTTTAAAAATTTCTTACAAAGAAAATACTGACTTCCCTCTTAAGAAAAGTGTTATAAAAGACTTCTTTTTCTATTCACAGCTTAACAGTTCGACTCTGTAGTTTCTTGTGGGATGATGCTCTCAAAAGATCTTTTAGCTGTATCCTTAATTTTAATCCTCAGTAAACTAGGATCCACTCAGTTACTGGACAACAAATGTAAGCCACCGCTATTTAGCCCCAGAATCGTTGGTGGTAAGAAAGCAGAACGAGCTCCTTGGATGGCAATACTAAGCTTAAATGGCAAAAATATATGCGGCGGATCACTTATAACAAACGGTTCGTATATTTAAGTCATAATTCTTAAGTTTTCTTTTATATTTGAATTTCCTATAAAATACGGTTTCAGACTTTGTTCTCACCGCTGCTCACTGTGTCGTTAGGAATGGCAAAAACTTGTAAGTACTAAATACTAACTATTATCTTACCAAATTATCTAATCACCACAATCGATTGGAATAGAAATGTTATACTGGGAGAATACGATACATCAACGATATGGGATGGGCCAACGAAAAAATGTGGAGTTAAATATGTTATTATACATCCTTATTACACCAAGGGACTCTCTAATGATATTGCTCTGCTTAAACTAGATCAATCCGTGCAATATACAGGTACTGTTTATTTATTTACCTCTGAATATAAATTTAAACTAAACTGTATCCGTTTCAGCTAATATCAGGCCGATCTGCATATTGCTAAAACCAAACCAAAGATCAGTGATAGATTCTATGCAGAGTTTTATATTAACTGGTTGGGGAAAAACAAACGCAGACCAACAAAAGAGGACTACTAAGCTTAAACAGTTGAGTCTCCGCCGCTATGATCAGGGTTGTCGCAACCTAAAGGACACATTTTGTGCGTACACTCCCCGACAGTCTGCTTGTTATGGGGACTCCGGTAGTCCCTTAGGAGCTCATGTGAGAGATCATGGGATAACTTTCTTTGCCCAATTCGGAATAGCCAGCCAGGTATCGAGTAAGACCTGTGAAGGTTTCAGCTACTATACGGATGTATATTACCATGCATCCTGGATCTACGAAGTGATTAGGTCCTATTGGTATTACTAAGGAAAATGTAGAGAGACTTTTGTACCTTTACCCTTACAGTAATAAAATACAAGCTTTCTTTTACTGAGCTGTGATAATGACAATGTTCTTTATTTCTATTGAAAAACTTTGTTATTAAAAACGTCGTTTGAATTATCAAGAAGTTGATAAATGATTGGCAAGGAATGCATGAATGAATATGTTATTAAACGGAATTCAAGTGCATTTTATGAACTTATGCTTATACTTTGAAAACAGTTTTATTCTGGAGTTTCAAGTGAAATGACGGCCATAAAAGTACTTCTAAGCGTCTCAGTATTTCTACTCCTTGCCATAATAGGATCTGCACAGTTTCTGGACAGAAGATGCTTGGCAAAGACTTTCCAGCCCAGAATTATTGGAGGTCAAAATGCCAGACGAGCTCCATGGATGGCTTACTTAATTCGAAAAGGAGCTTATGTAGGCGGAGGCTCACTTATTGCTCACCGTTTGTATTAACTATAGATTATATATAATTATAATTTAAATAATTAATAATAACCCTTCCAGGCTTTGTTCTTACCGCTGCACATTGCTCAAAAGTCAACGAAACTATGTAAGATTGTCTCAGCTTTAGTCCAAATGAAGTTAAAAGTTTAAAATCGTAATTTTTAGATATGTAAGATTGGGTGAATATGATTTATCCACGACACAAGATGGCCCAACAGAAGTTTATCAAACGATATATATCTTTCGTCATCCACATTATAATGTGATCATGCAGGTCAATGACATAGCCATACTTAAACTGGATCGATCTGTGGTATATAAAGGTAGTAAAAAATGTTCTTTAAATGAGTTTAGTTAGCTAATAAAATTAAACTTTTGCAGCTACAATCAGGCCGATTTGCATCATAATAGACCCTAGTATAAGGTCACTGATTCACCGCATTCAGAACTTTAGTTTGACTGGTTGGGGTCAGACCTCTCAGTACTATAAGATGCCCACGAAGCTTCAACAAATGACTGTTCGTCGTCATAACTATATTCATTGCTATAATCAAGTGGATAAGATATGTGCCAGCAATCCCACTCAGTTTTCCTGCCAAGGTGACGCTGGAAGTCCGTTGAGTGCCCAGGTGATCTACAATGGCAGTACTATCTCTGCCTTATTTGGTGTGGCCAACACAGTCACGGCTAATTGCAAAGGTTATGGCATTTACTCCGATGTCTTTCACTATACACCCTGGATTGTGGAAAATGTGCGACGAAATTGGAATTAAGAGAATTACTTATAAAAGATGAAAAGCCACCTTTAATTTTTAGATAGGTTTTTAGAGCTGCCAAAAAAGAAACGAATTCAAAATCTCTTCAAAAATCTATTTTGAAACCAAATTAATCTCAAAACACCTTAAATAAACTTATGTTTAAAATATTATAAATAAATATAAACAAAAAATGAAGATTTTCTGACATATCTTAAGTTATTTTTAAGAAAATAAGTTGATCTATATAATTTTTTAAGTCTGAGGACCCCAACTGATAATCTCAAAAACGATTTGAATCAGTTCATCCACGTTGATACTCTTTTGGCTTAACTTTTTCAGAGGAGCTTGCAGTTGGCCAGAACGCTAAAAGGCAAAAATAAATTTAAATAATAAAAACTAAAATCATAAAAGTTTCAACAAAATAATTACCCTGGCTCGCTGTACCAACTCCTTAAATTCCTTGTTCCTAAGAGCTTTATACAGCTTAGAAAATTCACCACTCTGTCGATTTTTCAGAGCTATCAAAGAATAGATTCTGGTCCTTGGTAAACTCTGAAGGACATCCCACAGGAAAGTGGTCAAGTCACGCCTCAGCATTAGTTCCACAGGTACAGTGCGCGACAGCTGATAGGCACGAAGTCGATTCGGCAAACTATCTACTAGAGTAGTAATATCATAACCCGAACCATTATCGGTCAGATAGTTAATGACATTCACAACATCGGGAGCGGCACGAATTTGCTGCCAAGTTCTTATAAACTCCTCGCTACGAATAAACTCCACGGCCTGTCGGAACTTGGCATCGAAGATATAGTATCTGGCGGCAATATAACCAATTCTTCGACGGGGAACTAAAGCTACGAAATCCTTGAGATCAGCTCTCAAGTCTCCAGAAACTGAAGAGCAACAGGCGATGGTTAAGATGAGAAATATAACTGGTATGGAGGTGGAGAAAGCCATTATGAGACTATTAGACTTTTGGTAGCTGTTAATGCTTATATACTGTAGTGGTCACAATATTTGCCTTTGTCTTTTTGGGAAGAGGGGTGTGACAGGTGTTAATTGAAGACCGTCAGCAGCCTCATCAACTATTTAGACCGTAGAAACTATTACACTGACAAAATAGTTACCTGGATTAAGATTTACTTAGATTAAGTAAAAATTACCAAGCATTATGATATTTTTATTAGTTCTTTTAAGACTAAAAATACTGTTAAAAAGTAAATATAAAGAAGTGAAAAACGTTACCCCTCTCTTCTACATTCTTATAATTTAATAATTCAACTTCCCTTCCCATTTTTCCCACTGTAAACTCTTACTTTCACCACCACTTTGAACAAATACAAAATCCACAATCTATAGCCAGCATTCAAAGCAGCGACTTCGCAGTTGATAAACAAGATGCATGGCGAACAAACATTTGCCAAACCTCGATAAATCAAGTGAGACATTCTTTTGTCTGGCCCAAACTGACTGTAATTGCTCCCATTTGTGCATTAAAAATAATGATTGATTCAGACTCGAAGTGCATTTCCTTTACCAGTTTGCCCAGTTTGGCCAGTTCCCAGTCTCGATTCCCAACAATTCCAACAAACATTGTTCTGTTGTCTGCAGAAGCCGAAAAATTAGAATTCAATTGCGTGATTTATGCATTCGGGAAATTTACGAGCCTTCTGAGAATTCCAGGCCTATGCACACACTCCCTCACACAACCTCAAACCCGAAGAAATTTACACTTCATTCAGGCTAACCACTAAGCATTTGTCTGTACTCACTTTATATTGAAAGCAAAGCTAATGTAGATTATGAGTGCCTAATTCGGGAAATTTATGTTGCCCATTGCCACAGAAAGCTAAATGGAAAAGTTAATTAAACTGCAATCAACAATTTGTAGGCTAAAAATTGAACAGAAAACGTAAGAAAGAGATTAAGATTTACTATGTACCTTCTCTGAATGCAAATTTATAAATATTATCCTTTTTCAGATATCAATTTTCTTCTACAGCAACTATTGACCAACATCTTGAGTCTAGTATACAGACTTATATACAGAAATACTCCCTTATCAATGGCATTTCTCTAAAAGCATTACAAATGAACCTGATTCTATTGAAAAACGTGACTCACAGCTATTATATATATATATTTCCTGATAAGTGCATTGATTTTTACTGCAGAATTTAATTTACAGCATAAACCTTTTGATCAGTTGCAAAGCCGAGCTCCAAGATGAAGCAATCTCTGGGCAATGTCTTACTACTAGCCATTTTGATCTTGGGAAGCCAGTATTCTGTTGGATTTGCTGTTTTGCTGGATAATAACTGCGGTGTCTCGACTTCTTCTTATCGAATAACCGGAGGCAGAGATGCTGGCCTGATGTCGGCTCCTTGGATGGCATATTTGCATACCAATCCTAGGTTCATATGTGGCGGCTCTCTGGTAAATCCAAGTAAGTCTTAAGTTGTGTAAATTCTTTGATTTTTTAAATTAAATTCCCTGTTTTAGGGTTCGTTCTGACAGCCGCCCATTGCTTTGCAGGTAATGCTACAACAATGTAAGTAATATTTTGACAATCAAAGAATTATCTTAATCGCCTTTCATTAAAGATATGTACGATTGGGAGAGAATGATTCAAGTCAACGGATGGATTGTGAAAACAATATTTGTGCACCGTCACCTGCAGATTATTGGATAATGCAAAAGTTCCTTCATCCGAAATTTCAAACATCCCGCTACTATGATATAGCTCTGGTAAAACTCAACCAACATGTGATCTACTCAGGTTAGCTAAACTAACATAAGAAAGCATTTTAACTAACTTTATTAGTTTTTAATCCATTTCAGATAGCGTTCGGCCTATTTGCGTGAATTTAAACCCAATGTGGCAAAGTTATGTGGACGGCATTTCATATCTCACTGTACATGGCTGGGGCGCCACCAGGTTTGCTGATGTTAGTGCTAAACTTCAGACTACACAAATTCCGCAGGTGGATCGTTTAACCTGTCGTTCTTATTATGGTTATAATGTGGATCGTACTCATATCTGCGCCGGCGAGAGCAAACATTATGTGGGTAAAGGCGATTCGGGTGGACCATTGGGAAGTATGGTAAATACGCGGTACAACACCATGCGTTACTTTCAATTCGGCATTGTAAGCCATCTTCGACAACCTTTTATGGGCGTCTCAGTATTCACGAACATTTTGCCCTACTCAAATTGGATCTACCAAACTATACTTACCAACTACTCGTATTAGGAAATACTAAAATATTAAATAAAAGCAAGTATTTGGTCACACTAAATGGATAAAAAGATAAAAAAATTAATATTTTTGATTGCAAATAAAATACCAGAAACTGCTAATCACTTTCAGTTTACCGGAAGTTCAAAGAATTCTCAGCTTCTCAGAAACTGATAACCGAACAGTAATTTCAAAAAGAAACTGCTGATAAGAAAAAATTCCTCGCTTTCGTGTTAGTTGTATTCGAAGCGCCGAAGATGAAGCACATTCCGAGCTTACTCTTCTGTTGCATTATCGGGGGAACATTTTTCCAAGAATCTACTGCATTTTTGGAACCAATTTGTGGGGTTTACCCCTATAGAAGTCGAATATATGGCGGCAGTCAGGCAGGATTGAGTTCAGCCCCGTGGATGGCATTTTTACATGACCAGTCCCAGTTTATTTGTGGCGGTTCACTTATTACGAAAGGTTTGTATATAGTTTCTTATCGCTATAAAAATGATTTCCGGAGAATCAAATGATGATTAATGGTAATTTTTGGTGGTAATTCTTAATGTTTCTTGTGTTCAGTTTTTGTTCTAACGGCTGCCCACTGCGTTATTCCCACTCCCGAGAAATTGTTAGTACTATGTTGAAATTATAAAAATCAAACAAGTTCTTATGGTTTTTATTTTACGCCTACAGATTAGTTCGATTGGGCGAGAATGATTGGACCAGCGAACGAGATTGCATGAATGGGTTTCACTGTGCTCCACCCCATGAGGAGTACACAGTCATACGGATCTATACCCATCCGAAGTTCATATCGGTGCCATCGCACGATATAGCCTTGCTGAAACTGCATAAGCAAGTGCAGTACTCACGTAATCAATAGCTCAACATAAAGTTTAAAGTATAATTTAATCGCAAATATCATTTTAACACAGCTGCCATACGACCAATATGCATATTAATGATCGAGAATATGGATAATTTTTACTGGTTTGTGGATTCGGTGAAGACGTTCACCCTGACTGGTTGGGGTGCCACGAGATATGAACCAGTTAGCCGTACCCTTCAAACAGTAAAACTACCTCAAATCGATCGGGGTGTATGCCATGATCAATATGGATATTCCGTTGATCATACTAATATCTGTGCCGGGGATATTCATAATTTTGCCTGCACTGGAGATTCTGGTAGTCCACTGGGAATAATGGTCTCATATGGTCACCGGAGCGTATATACTCAGATTGGAATTGTTAGCAGTGGATCGGAACCCTGCAGCGGAGTCGCTGTCTTCACAAACATCTTGAGTTTCACCCATTGGATTAAGAGGACCATTGCATATGACACGAAGTATATGGCGCCTAAGAACTCGAATCCTTTGATTAAATTATAAACTTTGCTGAAAAAGTTAGTAGTACCAGACTTTCTTCCTTATTAACTGCTTAATTAAAGTTAAACAATCAGTTAACATTAATTGGTAATTTAATAACAAACCAGAAAGCAATTGCAAGGCAAAAAATGAATGTTAAAGCTCCACGAAATCAGTTTTAGGATCTCTTTTTAATCTGAAAAGCCGCACAAAAGGCAGACGGCAGGCAATAAATTTGCATCAATGCTGCAACAATTGGCAATATTCTGTGGCAAAGGCAAACAAATAACCCAGCCAAAGGTGAGAGGGTTCGATTGTGAAAGGATCTTCCGCCCACCATCAGACTCACATTTTCCCCCCAAAGTAGCATACGTGTGTGTGAGGGTATTTTTGGCTGTTTTTGGGACAAAAAACGGAAATGGGAATGGAAACGAACAACGTTGTGTTACGTGTGTTTTTCTGGGTGGGATTGTTAGTCTGAAAAGTCGAAGTAGAGGCCTTCGTTCGTAACATATAGCCATATAACCAGAACCACCACCCACACGGAGCCATCAGTTCCAGGTGTCCTGAATTGTTGCGGTTGCCGGGTTGCCCAGTTTACTGGTAACCGTGTGCGTAATAAGCTGCCTTTTTGGCCATTGTCCTCTTTGAAGTTTGTTTATGATTTTCGGATGCTGCACGCACCATCAACAACAACAACAGCAACAACAAAAAACGCGTTAACCGCATTAGATTTAGATTTGGCGTTTGTTGTAGGTATTAGTGAGATTTATGCATTTAGGAAATTAAACATCCTGTGCCTTTGGACATTTTAAATTTTCGGCCAGCTTAAAGGTAAGGTTCTCCCTCTCTCTCTCTCTCTCTCTCTCTCTTTCACGCACACACTTCCTGGCTGTGTCATTAATTTGAAATCATGCGTGAAATCGCGTAATGTCGCCAACACGCCCATACCCATGGCCAGCACTCACATTCACATCGGGCAACCCAGATCCAGATTCACCGCCATGGCTACAATATAGCCATGGCAATGGCCATGTCCCTGGCCTCAACATCCTTCTTGCGCACTCATTTGTGTACAAAAAAATGTATGTTTTTGCTTGTTTTTATGCGACGCCTACTTGCCAGTGTGTTCATGTAGGTGCACTGAGAGAAAATGGGGTATTTAAGTTAAAATTTTAAAAATTATAGATTACTGATGGATAAATCATGAAGATATTGAAAGAAATTACCACAGAAGATCTTTACAAAGTGAAAAATAAGAATAAGAAACTATTTTGAAGTTTCTAAGATGCATATTGTAGCTTCCTAGTCAGGTTCATTATAATTCCCAAACCATTTTTAGGCAGAAATCAAAGCGTACTATCTTTATATAATATTATATTATATGGTTTACTGAAATATTTGGAATAATCTTATTACTATATAATCTGATTGATCTTATAATGCTTGTTTTAATGCCATACTCTGAATGCTCTAGAAGGAATCCCTTTTTCAAGATTTTTCCCAGTGTATTTCTGCGTCTCTGACTGGCGGGTTGACTGTTTTTTATTTGGCCCCATCAGCACGTCGGTTGGCCCGCTCGGCTCGGCGGAAATGCGTTCGACCACATCAATCACGCGACATTGACAAATGTGAATATTTTTGTTGAAAATTATATGCGGTGGGTAGTTGGGGGATGGGTTGGCCATTGGGCTTGCTGGCAGAAGGGTTTCTGCAGCAGAAAAGCGGCCAAGTGGCTGTGCAAATTATTGGCTACAATAGTGCTTCAAATTGGGCAATTTATTGCTTTATTGCTTTTACGTGTTTCGTCTGCGGCTTGGTTGCAATTTTTATACATATATATAACGGTATATATATATATATATATTTACCCCCCTTTTGCAATTCAGTTTTTCATTATGTCGCCTGCAGAAATGCACTTGTTGTTGCCCGTTGTTGTTGCTGATAATTGCAAATTTAATCATCCCATAAAATTTCAAGTGCCAGCAGGTTGTTCGCGGGTTTTGTGGGTAAATAAATTCCTTTGATGACAACTTAAAAGTTTTAAAATATTTGTTTAAGAGTCGTAGATCTATATAAACCGAAATTTGTGGTCATAGTAAGCTGATTGATTTGAGTTGACAAAATGTCAGTTGGCTTGTTATTACGATTAGTTCAGTTTCTTGATTCCAGCTCAACGGAGCTAACACTGATTTCGATTTTTTTTTTTTTTTGATAAAAATCAGTTTTTATTTTCCAGTGTTTAGCAGTTGATCTGGTTATCTATTCTGCCCACTCGGTCGCGTTACTAAATTCGTATAGTATAGTACTCACAATCTCAATCGGTGCAAATCTTTAGCGAAGTTTATCCAAATTGCTACGCACAATGACTCGATCGCAGGTGATCTCCTGTTTGCGGCGGTGCAAGCTGGGCTTGTTTAGGCGCCATAAGGCTCTTATATTGTCCAGAGGTCCATTTATACAGCAGGTGAGATAGTGGCTGATAGGATTATACCCTTATCTTACTTTCTAGGAAGCTAGTTAAGGCTGCATGGTCTTAACTTTTCTTCCAAAGCAACGTATTACGTCCACTGCTAGAGATTCTTCTAGTTCCTAGTTATATATTTTAGTACTAATTCCCCAAACAACACCAGGTGAGGTGGAAAAGTGAGGATGGCGGCTGCAACACCACGAACCTCCAGGGCGTCGTTGTGGGTCTCTATGCCAAGGATGGTGACAAGGGTCTGAAGTTATCGCCGGGTGGCGAGAAGTTCGATGACCGTGTAAGTGGCAAGATCACAGAACTGATCAAGGAGTCTGGACTCAATGGAGAGCTGGGAGTGGGACGACTATATCAAAATATAGACAAGGAGTACTGGGCTGTGGCCGTGGTTGGTCTGGGCAAGGAAGGAGCTGGCTTCAATGCCGAAGAAGTCATTGACGAGGGCATGGAGAATGTGAGAGTATGCGCCGCCGTTGGAGCCCGTGCTTTGCAGCTGCAAGGATGCACTACTTGCCATGTGGATGGCATGGAGTATCCAGAACAGGCTGCCGAAGGAGCTGCCATGGCCGTGTGGCGTTACAATGTGAACAAACGAAAGAAGAACCGCCTGGCCATACCGAAACTAGAGCTCTATGGCTCCACTGATCAGGATGCCTGGACAAGGGGACTCTTCAAGGCCGAATCCCAAAACTTGGCTCGTCGTTTGGCCGACACGCCAGCTAACCAGATGACCCCATCCATTTTTGCCCAGGCCACCGTGGATGCCCTGTGTCCTTGCGGCGTTTCTGTTGAAGTAAGATCGATGGATTGGATCGAAGCCCAGAACTTGAACTCGTTCCTCATGGTGGCGAAGGGCTCTTGCGAACCACCCATTATCCTGGAGGTGAGCTATTGTGGGACTTCGCCCGAAGAGCGACCCATCCTGATGCTCGGCAAGGGATTGACCTTCAACAGCGGTGGTTTGTGTCTGCATGAGAAAACTGGCATGGATGAGTACCGGGGATCTGTATCCGGTGCCGCTGTCTGTGTGGCCGCCATTCGTGCGGCTGCTGCCCTTTCCCTACCCATAAATGTTTCGGCTGTGTTGCCTCTATGTGAAAATATGCCCTCGGGAATGGCCACCAAACCGGGTGATATAGTGACCCTACTCAACGGCAAGACCATGCACATCAAGGACATTTCAAAGGCCGGAACTGTCCTGCTGGCGGATCCCCTCCTCTATGCCCAGTCGACATTCAAACCCAAATTGGTAGTGGAAGTGGGTTCGATGGCCAGTGGAATACGCAAGGGTCTGGGTGCCTCGGCCACTGGCCTGTGGACCAATAACTCCTTCCTGTGGAAGAATTTCCAAAAAGCAGGAGCTTTGACCGGTGATCGACTGTGGCGTATGCCACTGTGGAAATATTTCAGGAATCTAGTGTCCCCACTTTCAGCCTACGATATTTGTAACACGGGCAAAGGACAAGCATCCTCTTGTCTGGCGGCTGCCATTCTCTTCGAACTGGTACCCTGCTCTGATTGGGTGCACCTGGATACCCATGGCACCGGAATGCTGGCAAAGGATGGAGTACCTCCATATTTGCTTAAGGATTGTATGACAGGACGTCCAACCCGATCGATTATTCAGTTCCTCTACCAAATGGCCTGCAAATGATGCAACTTTGATTATAAGTTGACAAGGGATCAACGAAGTCCTGATATCGGTGTGTGCCTAAATTCAGTGTCCTTCAATGTGCTGTCTCACTGTATGTGTATTTTATCCATATGACGTACTCATTTTGTGGGATTATTTAAAGAGTCTGGTATGATGTTAAACCTGTATTTAAAAGAGGTGTCAGTATGGTTTTAAACTTCAATAAAATAAAATTTATGTAGCCAACTTTAAGCTTATATTACTTTAAGAGAAAAACCCTCTAATCTAGCTTCTGAGCCACCTTTATGGACCTCCATTAGCCATGACTAAGTGCTGGCCAGCAGCAACCAGGCTCCTTTACATATGCCTAATTAGTGCCGAAAAAGAAAGCCTATTCGGGTATTTTTTGGTACAGGGCCTAATTGCTCTAAGAAAACCCTGGAATGTGTACATATGTACGTGCCTAGAAGAGATGTGAGGCCGCCTAGCCTAGGCGCACATTCCTTATTAATGCGCACATGTTTTGCATAGGTAATGTGACCTGTACACAGGGACAACTTTCAGTACGTTTCATAGTCGAAAATGTGTGTGCGTGACGAAGGTTTCACCTTCATATTCCGCACATCATGGCGGGCTAATATATTCTCTTCAAAAACTTTTTTGAATGCCAACAAGGCTTTTTTTTTTACAAAATTCCACAGATATGCAAAAGGTAAACTTAATTATCAGAAGGTTTTCAGAAAGTTTTGGGGGTTAAAATATGTAAATAGTGTGAATTTGTAGAAAAAGTAAGAAAATTTGTATGGTTTAGGATGATAAAAAGTGGATTTTAATCATAGAAAACTTATTGTTAATAAGCCAATAATCAAAGTAGTCAATTTTTGTACAGAAAAAGTTACTTAACTTAAAAAAACTTCCATCAATTTGCTGCTTATCTGATGAAATGGCCTTCCAAATTACACAAAGTAAAAATGAGAGCAGAACCACCACAAATAGAACTGTCCTCCTGCTGGATTTTTAATGAATTTTCCAGCATGGTCTTTGCGAATTGATTTAATTTTACCTCTGGTTGCTTTTCCTCACTCTCTCTCTGGCTTTCTTCCTACTTTTTTTTGCTGATTCGAGCGCGTTTTTATCTGGGACCCACTGAGACTGAGTTTCGCTTTCGGTATCTTGTTTGTTGCTTAATTGGAAGGAAATTAAAAAATAAACAAGCAGCGCCAAAAGCAAATACTACACGCTGGCGATTACCTGGACAGCAGGAGCACCACCACCACCACCACCCACCTGCCAAAACAGGCCCACCGCCGGCTGTTTGGAATTTAATTTTCATTTTACACCCAACCTCGAAAGGTACACCCCCCATGCAAGAAGAGCGCCGTTAATTTTATCTTGGAAATAGATTTTCAGGTTGTTTGTTATTTTAGGACCTGCTTGCGTAAGAATTCCTCGCGCGCCCAAAAACTTTACAACAACTGGCCTCTCAGTATTATTTGCCTTGAATTAATTAAAACCCATCGATGCCCACCCATTGCCAGTAGACAGCAGCCATACAAGAATAAGGACCATCAGCAATTGGCTAATTGAAGCGAATTGCAAGCATGAATCTGAGATATATATGTATATTCTTGGTAGCAAATCTACAAGCTAACACACATATTAGTGCACTTATATGGGTGAGAGAGGAAGTGCGGCCAAAACAACAAATTGAAATTCAGGGCAACAGTTGAGCCAAGCAAACAGAATTTGGCCATTGATGAGACGCCAGTCGGGAGACCAAGTTTCGGCTTGCCCCTGGCCATGGAAAGTGTCTCCCAGTTTAGTGGTGCGTGTCCTAAAACTGGGTTTGCCTTTGGCTATGGGTTGCCTGTCCAGGATATCAAAGCTACACGGGAAGAAAAGATGATCGAATTCTTATTAAAAACATAATTTTTAATTTATTATTATTTTTTAAGAGATTGAAAGCAGGTTGTACTGGATATTACGATACAAAAATAAAGTAATTTTTACTTTTTTAAGCAATTTTGTTTCTAAAAACCTTGACAAGGCAAGTTTTTTATTAAGTAAATTTGAAAATAACCTTTGAAACTACCAACTAACATTTTCCCAAACTGTACACCGGCATAACTAATAAGACACTTATTATGCGATGGCGGTCTGGTAACGTTAGACCAAGTTTAACGATATCACGTACATACGTTAACTAACGCTAACTACGTCGTTAAGTGGGGGGTATGGGTACGAGAGGGAGAGCTGGCAGTGTGTTTGTGGAGGGACACGCGCCGAGACCAGGACACGGATACGGATATGGGATACGGGATGCCGGTGTGCCGGAGTGCTAGAGTGCCATAGCCAGAGCTGGAGTCGGTGGCATTCACTAATCAAGCTCGCCAGCTATATAGCTTTACCCGCTGTGAGCGAGCAGAAAATTTACATTTTCAATGTCCTGGGTCGCGCGGGCACTCAGGTGAAGTTGGGTCCTTTTATGGAGCCTTCCTTCGTTTGTTGTTGTGACTCTGGTTGTTGTTGGTGTAATAATCAGGATCACGTCGCCAAAACATGAGGCTTAGTTAAATGCCGCTAATTAGGCCCTTTTGTGCGCATTCCTGGCCAGGCTATTAAAAACTGAGCTAACCATAAAAGCCAACCGTTAATCAGCTGCACATACCGAATTATGTGTTGGGTGGTCTGGGAGGCAATAAAAACACTCGTAATGCCCAGTAAGGAAAAGTTATTGGCCAAGAAGAGGGAAGGCAAAAATCGCGGTTGGTCGCTAGAGGATTTCTAATTATGTTTGGGTCAATGCCAGTTGAACTCGCACAGCTTGCCAAAAGAATCTATTTCCATTGAAAATTGCCAGAGACAGAAAACAATAAACATAATCGCAATATTTTATATTTCCGCAACAAGAAACAGCGGGAAATTGTCAGCGAGCACATGAAACTAGTCAGCACAAAAGTTAAGTTGTGTAAGGGGGGCAAAATGGAAAATGTCCAGCTACTGCCAAATGGCCAATTCCATTGAAGTTGGCTTTAAGGCGGCAGCGCACTTTGTAGCTCATGAATAATCCTTTTCAGCTTAATCGACTAACCTTACCAGGGGTTAAAATCAGTTTGAAAATCCAAATAAATATGCAAATTCCGTAAGGGGCCCCAGAAAAGGTGTCCCAAAAGGTACATTAGACCCTGGAAAACACCTGCCCTCTCTCTCACTCTCTTTCTGTGGAAAATGTTTTTGTCACCTACGTAATCGATTAAGCGATAAGGTGGATACAATGAGAACTCACAAAGAGCGGCAGACAAAGCGCTTTCAAATTGAATTTATATGGCTTGTTTAACGCCGCTTAAGTTTACAAATATAGAGAAATAAATTTATATAGGTATGTGTTTGTATATATATTCCTATGAATACACATAAATTAAAGCCGGATTTCAGCGGAATGTTTACATTGTCCGCCAAAAAGCAGACCGATCCATTGTTATGTGCGAACAAAAGGAATGTTTCAGCTTAAAGCTTATAACAAACTATCAAACTGGAATTAAACACGCACCACCAGCAGGCAGCACACACTCACGCACACTAACGCACACGCACAGGACTAGCTAATTATGCAAATGTGTTTGATTGCGAAAATGGTGCGCCAAAATGTAGGCAACACTTTTCGAAAGGCTGCTTTGAACGGCAAACGCAAAAAGGAGAAACTACAAAGTTTAAATGCTTAACGGGGTTATACCCTATAACCGCGAGTAATCTTTAATCAATATAGGAGAATGACTTAGATTTTTTATAAATTTCATAAATATTTCCAATATGCATTATTTTATCTTCTTATTAAGTTTAAAACCTATAAATACGTAGTTTTCCCTGCTTAAAATCACATTTTCATGGACTAAAACGTAGTAAAAAATATGTTAAATAATTATGTGAAATTCCCTTTCCCTTAATACCCAGTATACCCCTTTACACTTTACCAAGTAGCGGGTGGAAAAACAACAAAATTAGCATAATTATGCAATCTACGAGCGCCTCACACACATTTCGTCGGCTAATTCCAAATAGAAAACTTTTCAGCAGCAGCAGTAGCAGCAACAAACCGAAAGCTGGTGGAAAAGAAAAAAAATTTATTGCCCAACGCCAACTTTTGGTCAGCAAAGCTGGCTGGTAAAAATTTGCATAAAAACAAACGTAACGATTCGAAATCAGATGAAAGCGAAACTTTGAACGGTAACGAAAACAAAAAAACAACGAACAGAAAATTTAATACGTAAAAAGAACTAACAAAATGTGGTATAAAATCATTAAGAAATGTGTTACTCGAAGGATTACTGCTTCTTTTTCAGATCATTAAGAACACGGGCGATTTCCTCCTTTAAGGCCACAGCACGGCTGGCCAACATCTTAGCCAAAATGGCATGCTTTTCGGCCATTTCCACGGCCTCACGATCCCGGTTGCTGACTTCGCCGGTTTCTTGAGCAGATCTTAGGGCCAATTTGTTGGCAGCTTCTACGGCTTTCGTGGCCTCGGCCTGTGCTCCTTCAGCCTGTCTTTGGGCAGAAATGTAGGCCTGTTCCAAAGCCTCCAAGCGAGCCTCCTTCTTTTTCTTCAAATCCTCGAGTGTATTTGTGGCGTCTGTCAGAAGCGAAGCAGCTCCTGAGGCCATGCTGAACACCTGATTGGCCATATCCTTGGCAGACTTTACAGTTTTATCATTATTGGGTTCTTCGGTTTTGGATCTGGCTGGAATCTCCAGTCTAGGATATATGGTAACTGGATTACCGTCCTCGGGTTTTATCACCTCTTCGATTATAGCTGGCACAGATTTTTCCATAAGTTCTTTCTCCTTTTTCTCTTTCTCCTTGGCAAGTAACTCGGCCAGCTGATTGGGATCTGTGTACACATGACCCACTTCATCTGCACCTTCAATGCGGTCTTTTTGATCCTTTCTAGCGCCCTTAGACTCTGTTAGCTGTAAGCCTAAAATAGGTTTTTGATCTGATCCCTGAACTGTTCCTGGTAGAGAAGCCTTTTCCTTGGGTTTTCCAGGATCAGCAGATTTTTCTTTGTCCTTTTTGGCTAGATCCTCGCTGCATTTGGCTATGTTGATGAAGACCTGCTCCTGATTTTTGTAATTTTCTGAATCACCTTCGTTTTCCTTATCGAACTTGCCATCCTCTTTCTCTTCTGGTTTCTTTTTGCAAGGATCTTCATCTTCATCACAGACGCCTTCTTCATCTTTTGGCTTACAAGGATCTGGTTTGCAAATATCCTCTTCTTTTTGTTCACAAGGATCTGGCTTGCAAATATCCTCTTCTTTTTGTTCACAAGGATCTGGCTTGCAAATATCCTTTTCTTTTTGTTCACAAGGATCTAGCTTGCAAATGTCTTCCTCTTTTTGTTCACAAGGATCAGGCTTGCAGATGGCTTCTTCATCTTTTGCCTTGCACGGATCCGCTTGACAAGGATCAGGCTCACAAATGAGTTCATCCTTCTGCTTACAAGGATCGGGTTCACAGATAGATTCTTCCTCAGGCTTGCAAGGATCTCCCTTGTTCCTATATTTATCCCACTCCTCCGCCTCCTGAAGCTGACGCTTCCGTTCCAGAGTTCTAGCTATCTCTCTGCTTCTCTCTTCCTGAGGATCGCAAGGATCTGACTCGATTGATAGGTTAGTATGCCTGGCCTTAACATCCGGATTGGACTCCGCCTCTTCGCCGCGTATAATGGTCTGGTTACAGACATTTGAGCCCGGTTGACGTTCTGCAATCCTGTCACGTGTCTCTTGGGATGGGGATGTGGGAGTTTCCGATTTCTCAGCGCGGGCTTCGTCGGCTTTCTTCTGAACATTCTTGGCCATTCCCGATATTTTCTCTTTTAAAGCGTTGAAAAGTACAATGGCTTTGGCCACTAATTCCTTGGCCATTTCACTGGCCTTTTCAGCCAACTGAGAGGTGTCAACAGCAGGTTCTGTGGGTTTTTTGGGAGCCGCAGCCGCTGCTGGTTTTGCATCTCCGGCAGTCTTTTCCGGAGGTTTCTCGGGTGTTTTAGGCTCCGGCGGTTCCGGTTCCTCTTCATGGTGTAAAGCTGCCGCTGCCTCTGGATCCGATGGACCTGGTGTTTGCTCTTCGGGAGTATGGGGCCAGAAAGTCGGTTTGTTAATGAAATCCGGAGCCAAATGAGGACGGGCATAGCAGAATTCCTCCATGGTCATTTGGTCATAGGGTACCATGGCCTTTACGAACTCCAGTTTTTTGTTCAGCTCTTTGATTCTTTCATTCGATTCAGCCTTATACTGACTAATAGCCTTCGTCACCTCGGCCTCTTCCACGTCCACTTGATCAAAATAGCGTTTGTGATCCACCATGGCATGTCGATTCTCGAACAGGGAGTGAAGTTTATCGTACTTATTCTCGTAACCCTTGACCCAATCCACAAACTCTTCACGGACATTGGTGCGGTAATACTCCCAGTCGATTGTCGGCAAAGATTCTGGATGCTTGCGAACGCGACTGGGAAGGATGGGATTTATATATACTTAATGATTAGAAGTCTATCCCTGATTTGTGCTATTGTAATGAAAACCTAGTCTTTAACCCCTTTAAGACAAAAGTATTTCCTGCGAAGTTGAATGATTTCCCTTACTAGTAACCCCTTAACTTACTCCTTGTACTCCTCATGCTTCTTGGCAAACATTTCATACATCTTCATCTGGTTGGGGGGCACCTGTTTCACCAGGTCAGCCAATTGGACAGCCTGGCAGCTTGTTTTTTTGCCACCACCACCGTTGGTCTTGATGCAGTTCACCAGTTTCTCCCACATCTTCGCTCTTCTTAGCTGAATATTTTTTGATTTATATATTTATGTATATATAGAGGTATATATACAGGTGTTCAGATTGGCCTCTAGTCTGTTCTATAAACTTATACAAAATGTATGTGTGTGATGAAAACTTCCAAGGAGCCAACTGAGAGCCATTAAAAGTGAAAATTCCAAAAAAGGCTATAAAAATGGGAGGGGGCTGGCAGGAGGGTTAGAGAAATCGAGATTTCAATTTATAGCCAGAAATTGCATATTCATGCAGTTTCAATTAAATCAGAGTCAGGCGCAGCGACAGCTAAGCAAGTGGGTTTGACTAACTGACAATAAAATCGAAAATTAATTCCGAGCCACTGCAGACTGCTCAAGGAAAGTTAAATGTAATTGCATGGAGGTGGGTGTATTGTGGGGTGTTAAAGTCAGGTGGTGGTGGTATGGGTTTGTGTGTGCTGTTGGATTGTGTGGAAATGTAAAATCACACCCTATGATGTGCGTGTGTGTGTGTGTTTGGGACTCGAAGTCTGAGAATGCTCCAAAGTGACAAACGCAATTTATAACGCAACGAAAATGGGCTAATGCCAATTCTCCAGGTAATAGTCGGCAGCAGGCTCTGCCTTTTCCGCTCTCCCCTCTCTCTCTCTGTCTCTCACCATAGTTCTCTAGAGAAACTCACTGAGAGAGAGAGAGAGAAAGGGTGTGCAAATAACAACCCCTGCTAAAGTCCCAGGATGTGCTCCTTGAAACGTTTTGAAATGAAACGAAACAAGCGCCTGCGCTCTGTCCTTGCCTGGCTGTCATTTTGACAGTTGCAAAAATCCTCTCACCCCCTTAGCAAGGACCTTTCCCTGAAGGACTCAAACAGCTGCCTCTCTCCCGCAGAACGAAACGAAATGGAAAAGAAACATTGAGAGAGACACAGAGGGAGAGAGAGAGCTCCGTTTGTCAGCAAATTTCGAGCGTCTGTAAATTTTGTATGCCTGTTTTTCTGTGTTTTTGCCTTTAAAAACAATTTAAAACGGAAGTGAAAGTAAATATTTAAGCATCCGAATAGTGAGCCATGGTTGTGATTATATTAGAATCCTTGAATAAACCAAAATAAACCCAGAATCAAGGATATCCGTGTTCCTGTGTGTTCCTTTTCCCGTGTTTGTGTGTACCATACAAAAGTGTGTTTACATTTTTTCAATTCATCCTAACCAAAAACTAAACAATAGAAATTTTAGCTTAACAAAGGTTTTCTATAGCATTAATAATATTTTTCAATAAAGTAAGTAACTAGTTAATAATCAGATTTAGTTTTTATCAAATTTCCTTTAAAACATAAAAAGATTCTTTCGTGTATGTGTTTGTTTCCCTGTGTATATGTACACAAACGAATGTATGTTTGTATGTGGGCAGTAAGGACATACCTGTGCAAGCTGGGCCAAGGATTCTATGTGGGCTGGCCTGAATAAGATGAGGAAAAGAAAATAAATACAGAAAAGTACACATCTTATAAGCATGGAAAACATGCGTCGTAATGCCCAATCAAAATAAATAAATATGTTTAAGCGGCTGAGGTATTTAAGATGGAATCACATTTTTCATTGAAGTTTATTGAGCTGGAAAAGTAATTTTAGATAATTTTTAAAAGTGTTTTTAAGATTTTAATAAGCCATATTTATTTCAATGGGAGATAATCTTTTAAACTTCTATTTTAAGTTAAAAACTTAAGAATTTGTGAGACTTTTTTATAATCAAATGTAATTTTATGATCAGAAAACATATTAAAAAATAGTTTACACATTTCCTATCAAAACTTACCTACTTACCCATAAAACCAAAAACTTTAATAAAACTCTAAACTCTCCCATAAAAATCTCGCTGCAATTACATCAAAAAATTAAACCCAAAATAATGGCCATAAGCCCAGTGGTCATAGTAACACTCAACCACTTTTCGGCTCAAATTTATTTCAAAAACTTAATGAAACTCATCAAAATTCCCTCGGACCGAAATGAAATTCTGCAAATGAACTAATTGACTCGAATGATACTTTACAACTTTGCCAAAAGCTAAGCCCCGGATGCCGAAACTCTTAACCCCACGATGAAGAAAATAGAGTTTTGCGGCAAGCGGCGAATAATGTGGAAAAATAAATTTCCAAAGCTCGCTGGCTGACGGCTTAGAATTTTAATGTAATTTATTTTTGGTAGAAAAAGGGGAGGGAGAGAGCGGCGATGGAGCTTCGGGAAATGTGTGCAAAAGGCAGAAAACCAAACGGAGGCCAGAAACAAATAAAGTATGGACTAACATAAAAATTTATATGCAGTGTAATGGCAAAATATATATATATATATATATCCTGGGCATAGGCCATGTTGGTGCTTTGTTAAGCCCTTCTTCTTGGGCCTTGCCTCTCGCCCAACTCGCCTCCTGGGCAAACTTTTAAAGTGTGCAATTTAAATGAAAATTTCCCGAGCTGAGGCCCGCATTTTCCGTAGAGCGTGTCAAGCCACGCAGGCTGACTAGCAAGTAGTTACATACACACACACACACACAACCGAAAACTACTTATTTATGAAGGAGGGTGTAGTAGGTTAGGTAGCTCCCTCTTAACCCCCTTCTCCACAGTGCCAAGTGATTTTATGCTAATATTATGGGTCATTGGGATTTGCGCAGAGCAAAGTGCTTGTTAAACATTTCATTAGACTTAGTGTAAATACCCGCGGTTAACAGGACCTCGTAAAACCTTCCCAATCCGCCACCCACTCTCCCTATCCTTATCCACATTCTCAGTCCCAAAAATAACACCCACTTTTTGTTCAACGCCCAGGAGGATGTGTGTGTGTGTGGTCGGTGGCCCAAAAGTTTCCTTTTGAAATTGAAAGTGTTGATGGGAGCCACTGAGCCGCGTCTTGGGTCATATGCTAGCATATGGTACCTATATACAGTCCGTTTCACAGCTATAAGTTCACTTGATCAGACACATAAATCTAACAATATGGAAATAATGTGGAAAATTAGTTTACTTTTAGTTTTTAGGCCTAGGGAAATGTATGGTTAGAGGTCATACTGAATACTCCCAAAATATGAAACATATTTTTGATTTTTCAATTTTTAAATGTTACTTCATTTAGTTTTAGTTAGCTCAACTTGCCATTACCTACTTTTATACATGATATAAATTAAATCTACAGTTCACCCTTTCTAAACTTATGTCTCGCACTGTACACCGTAACCCTAGCCTGTCCGCGACCTTTTGTATATACGTAATTATTCAGCAGCTGCTGTCAGTCTAAAATAAAAGTGAATTTTGCCAACCAAAAATTGTACAGCCAAAAACTGAAAGGTTTTCACCCAGAAGCTGCCCGAAAAATGACTTTCGTTTTAATGCCAAAATCATGTCAGACCCAGATGTGACCACATTACATATTGCACTACTTAGAATATATATATATAATATATATATTTATCCCTAACGTTGGCGTTCTTTATTGGATTCGTGTATCCACATGCGGCTGACAGAATGAGTTTTTGATCAACTGACGACGTCAGTCAAAATTTTGCAATTAGTTATTGATGATTCGGAGAATCTCGGTGCTTGAAGGGGAACCATGAATGAAATATGACCATTGTCGCACTTTAAAACGTTAAATGTTCTTTTTTTTTCTTTTTTGGTGTTGACGCCGTAGCTGCTGTTGCCGGCGGCAATAATTGGAAAAATTTCCATTTGTCCTTTTTGCCCTTGTCCAATCGTTCTGCTGCCTACGTTGTCATGGCCAAACTGGACCAAGGACCAAGCACCAAGGATTCCTGGCCTGGAAGCGGCGAACAAACGAGACCGTAGGCGCATTTGCCATCTGTCACTCTGGCACTCGTGATGAATGTGTTTGACGTGTGGCTCAGGGCACGCCCCCCAATTGGTGGCCTTCGCCTTTAGCTTGCTTGCCTTTCCGTAGTTTTCCACCCATTTTACCAGACCTCACAACACTCCAAAACCTCCAGTACTCCGAATAACCTTCTCCAGTCCACCATCGTCATCGTCATCTCACTGCCACACCGCATGACGTTGCATACTTTGCGGCGCGAGCTCACAGTGAATAATGTGCGTCGGAAATGCCGCCTGTCGATGGTGGAAATCTTAATGGCAAATTGCGCAGATCTATCTATGTACCTGCTGTATAAGTAATTACACAGAGAAGAAATGTTATAGTTAGTAACTATGTTTTTAAACTTTTAAATTAAATCAGCTTTTGGTGTATTATAAAGGAAAAAGGGAATTATTTTATATAGAAACCCAACCAATGGTTTTCTCAACTGAAATCCCAACTGAAACGGATATCGCTAGAGCTAAGCAAATCAAAAGCTCATTATTAATTGAATATTATTTTCCTTTCCATGCCATTTCAGATCCAATTTGCAGCAAGAACTCGACCAACTTGAAACAAAAGTGTTGCCACAATGAGCCGGGTACAATGGCTTCTGCTTGGCAGTTGCCTCATGCTAATTTCACAAATACAAGCAGTCACCGAAGAACTTTCACCAGGTGAGTTTACTAAACAGCGCTAAGAAGAAGAAAAAAAGGGTATTTCAATGTTCCCGTTTAGCTGGGGAGCTGATTGAGCCAGCTTTACCGTCTGGGCACAAGTTGAACAGTCTCTTGCATTATGCAAAAAGAAATTGCAGCACGAATGTTGCATGCAGATGAACAGTAGGTCAAAACAACAGACCCCATGCTACATATTTACACAGGAAGAAATGGGTTATAGTACAGGAAAATGTGTTGAAAATATGGGAAAATATTTAAACAAAAGTTACGAAATAATAATTGAGTTTAGATAAGTTTGAGATGAAAAATGTTACATAAATTTTAGATTAATTAGCATTTTCTAGGCACCTTCCTTTGAGCCACGCTTTCCCATCAGTGTAGAGCTTCGTTCATTTGGTCTTACCATTCCGGTGTGTCAATCTATAATGCAAATTTATGCGCTCCTCAACTTGGGCAACTCAATCAGCGTACTAGTTGCTGGGATTATAAATAAACAATGGACAAGACGGTCGGCCCTTTCGATGGAACTGCACAAGTACAAGCACAAGTACGGTCTTCACTGCCAGCATGAACATCAA